AACCTATTCGGGACGCTTGTCCCAACATATCTCGACATGCAAAATAGTCCACCTCAGCAGTCCCAATCACATACATTTAATTGTGGTCAATAGTATGCCATGTCATACACTACTATTAATTTATAATGGTTTATTCCTTCATAAGTAATTTAGTCTAATTTCATTCTAATTCATCCACAATTCATGAAGCAATGTGTGGGATATGCTTCTAGTTTTATAGAAAATAAAGGACCTTCTTGATTTTTGCATTGTTATTATTTCCTCTAGCTCCAATATACTCCCTCAGTCAAAAAGAAACTTGATATCTTAGGATTTTTGTTAGGATATATTAGTGCTCAGAGCAAATTATCCATATACTCCTCTCCTACTTATGGGAAGTGAACCATGCTAATTAAGGAATAAATAAATCCCTCATTAAAAGGAATGAATGGCATGTGGACCATAATCGGAAGTTGATATGACCTCAATCTATTGGGCAAGAGCTAAAACATCAAGTTTCATTTTTTAATATTTTTTTGATAAAGGAAGCTTTTATTAAAACCTCGGAAGCAATACATCGAGTTGATACAAAGCCAAAGAGGGTAACTTCGAGCCTCTGCCTAACATGGGGCACACAACCAAAGAAAGAGAAGAAACCTAGCACAATCTAGTGGCTATCAATTCGTAAACTAGACTGCCACCCATGTGCCTGGGAGAAAAAAAATCCTTGGCCACCTACGTCAACTGTTGTGATACCGCTACAACTGTATCCTGCAAATCTAGCTTCTGCAGAATAGCCCAAGTACATAGCCAGTGAGTGGTTAGATAACCTGCACAGGAGAAATAATTTTTTCTTTTCAAAAACAATATCATTCCTGCTGAGCCAAATAGACCAACAAGTCGCAGCTCCTCCTAGCAAGAGTAAAAGCTTGACATCTTTGTTGACACCTCTTAGCCAGCCATTGAACATGTGACCTATATTGTGGGGTTTTAAAAGACCTATCGCAAGATGAATAAAAGACCAAATTGAACAAGCAAACCGGCAGTCAAAGAACAAGTGCTTAATTGTCTCTTGTTTGTGACAAAAGCAACTACTACCTTGCCAATTGCGCTTTACTAGGTTATCCTTTGTCAATATAACTCCTCATCGTAGGTACCATAGGAAAATTTTTATTTTCAGTGGGGCTTTCACTTTCCAAATGAGTTTGTTAATGTTTGGGATATCAGTATGTAATAACGCTTGATAGTGTGACTTCACCGAGAATTTTCCATTTGGATGTAAATTCTAGTGAAACTCATCTTGTTCATGGGCCAACTCTATATTAGCAATACGGGTAACAAATTGTTCCACGCTACTAATTTGGGACCAATGAGGTCTCTTCACCAAGATAGGTTTGGTGATGGACCAGAAAGAACCTCCGCAATGGTAACGTGTTTAGGTCTGGCAATGTTGTAAAGACATGGGTAGTGTTCCTGTAAAGACGATTTCCCTAGCCATTTGTCTTCCCAAAAATGTACTTGTGTTCTGTCCTTACAATGAAGGATCCAAAGCGGGAAAAGTCTCGCTTCACCTTCATAAGACTAGACCATAAATGTGAGTCCCCATTTTTCCATTCCACTTGTATTAATGGTTTCGATCCTAAATATTTATCACGGAGTAATTGCTGCCATGTCCCCTCTTTGGTAAGTAACTTGAACAAACATTTACTAAGTAGAGCAATATTTTTAATATGCAGATCATGAATTCCAAGACCTCCTTGGTCTTTGGGCTGACATAATATGCTCCATTTAGCTAAACGATATTTCTTTTTTTGCTCATCACCTTGCCAGTAAAATCTGGACCAGAAATAATCCAATTTCTTTTGGACTCCTTTTGGCAAGGCAAAGAAGGACATCATATACATTGGTAGGCTGCTAAGCACTGAATTTATCAATGTTAAGCGTCCTCCAATTGAAAGATGTTTTCCTTTCCAACTACTCAGTCGCCTCTCAAAACGTTCCTGAACCTTCCTCCACCCATCATTCCTAAGCTTCCTAAAATGTATAGGAATTCCCAAATACCTAGTTGGAAAATTACCTGACTTACAGCCAAACAGTTCGACGTATTGATCAAGGTGGTCTTGGACATTTCCGAAACAGAACAATTCACTCTTATGAAAATTGATTTTTAAACCCGATACTTGTTCAAAAGCACAAAGCAGCAGCTTCATGTTTCGGGCTTTCTCAAGGTCATGATCCATAAAAAGAATTATATCGTCAGCGTATTGTAGAATAGATAATCCACCATCGATGAGATGAGGCACTACTCCACTAATTTGCCCGTCCACTTTGGCCCTATTCATAAGAATAGCTAGCATATCTGCTACAATGTTAAAAAGGAATGGGGATAAAGGATCGCCCTGTCGAAGGCCTTTTCTAGTTTGAAAGAAATGCTCGGCATTGTCATTAACATTAATTGCTACACTCCCACCTAAAATGAAAGTTTTAACCCAATTTATCCACTTGGGCAAACACCCTTTCATTGGTAGTGCTTGAAAGAGAAAGGGCCATTTAACTTTATTATACGCCTTTTCAAAATCTAACTTGAGGATTACCCCACTCTGTTCTTTCGATGCAACTTATGAACAGTCTCATGCAAGATGACAACACCCTCCAGAATGTTTCATCCTAGCATAAACGTTGTTTGAGTTGGACTAATAACATGGTCTGCCACTGAATTTAGCCTATTGGTTGCAACTTTTGTGAAAATTTTGAAGCTCGTATTAAGCATGCAGATCGGCCGATATTGTTGAATCACATTCGCTTCTTGGACTTTCAGGATAAGGGTAATTACCCTAAAGTTCAAACTAAAAAGCAGTAAATCCCCTACATATAAGTCATGGAACATTTGCATTAGATCCCCTTTGATGGTATTCTAGAATTTTTGATAAAATTCAGTTGGAAAACCATCTGGACCAGGTGCTTTATTATGTTTCATATAAAAAATCGCTTCTTGCACTTCTTGCTTGGTAAAGGGTGCAGTTAGAACGTCATTCTCAGTCTATGTAACCTAAGGAACATCAAAGATCTTGTCCTTCTCCAGAGTAAAGGAACTAACCTCAGGTTTTCCAAAAAGTTCCTTATAAAACCTAGCGATATAGGCTTTTAGGTTTGCCTGACCCTCAGCAATGCCATATTGCCATTTTCATGATCAAGGGAAAAAGTTCTTTTTTCCGATGTTTACCACTAGCGACGATTTGGAAGTATCTAGTGTTGTTATCTCCCAAAAGGACATCTTTTACCTTTGCCCTCCGATAGTACTTGATTTCCTCTTCTCTAAGTAATTTGGTTAGTTGATCCTGAGATTGAGCAAGATTTTCTTGTTTAGGTTCAGTCAAATCCCTAACCACAGCAGCAATGTCTAGGTCATTAATTATTGATTGTAGTTCGACCTTTCTTTGCTTATAAACTCCACTAATATGGGAAGCCCATCTGCGTAAGTGTCTCCGTAAGGCACTACACATATTGTTCCAACGTTGGACTGAATTCCTACCTTTCACCGGCCTATTCTAGATCGCAATAACTCGATCATTGAAATCCTCATGGGCGAACCAACTTGGTTCAAGTTTAAACTGTTTTCCATTCCCCTTAAAGGCCGCTGTTCCTGTATCTAAGAGTAGGGGTGTGTGGTCCGACACCCCCCTATCCAAGGCCTATAACGAGACTAATGGATACTTAAACTCCCATTCAGTTGACATAAGAGCCCTATCCAATCTCTCGTATGTGGGTTTAGGTAGTGAATTGGCCCAAGTAAATTGTCGTCCCAAATCAGTTTCCCAAAGATCAAAACTATCAATAACGGCGTTGAACAGGAAAGGCCAATGTCAATGTATGTGTCATTATTTTTATCTTTGCTAGATCTCAAAATATTAAAATCTCCACCAATTAATGTGGGTAAAGGATTTTGTTGGCATGCTCTAACTAGTTCAGCTAAAAAGGCCGATATAAAATCGTCCTAGGCTGGATCATAGACTGCCATAAGGATCCATTTGAAATTGTCTGCCTTGTTGCATAAATGGAATTTAATATAGAACTCCCCTTCTACAATCAAGGAAAGATGTAGCATTTCTGTATTGACTCCAAGAAGGATTCCACAAGATCTACCATGAGGTGGAAGACAATGCCAAACGAAATCCGCACCTCCTGAGAGTCGGGCCAAATTCATCTTTGACATGTCTTGTTTCCCTATTTCCATGATAGCAATGAAATCTAGACTATGGTCCTTTACTGCCTCCGAAATATATCAGAATTTAGCTAGGTCCGATAAACCTCTGCTATTCCAATAAAGAAACCTTTCATTGGTAAACTAGGTTTTATTTATAACCCTTTTCCGGATCTTATGTTTTCTCGAGTTAGATTTTGATTTTCGGGCAGTGGCCTTCAGATCACATAATTTTGTGTCCGGGTCCATGTCCTCAAAATCCACCTCCGACACATCCTTCATCAAATGAGTGAGCAGGTCGTCATCTACGACGGCCTCATCATCACTAGCATCAAGAATCAATGGTTTAGTAACCCCCGCATTCATATCTCCTTTTTTCAATTGTTTTGTAGGTGGTGTTACAATCGTTCTATCAACTTCTATTTTTTTAAAAGCATTGATAGACAAAGTACACTCTGCACTGCTATTTCCTAATATATAACCTAAGTTACTGAGATTTCTAACACAAGAAGCATTCGAAATAGGAATAAAGGAAATAGCAGGGCAAGAGCTGTGTGTACCAGGCTGTGGAATCAACGGAGATAAAAGCGAATGCGGCACCACATTCTGTGCAGCCGCCGACTTCTTCTCCGGAGGGCTATCCAAATTTTGGATGGCAGCCCTTCGCATAGCGTTGCTTGTCATATCCTCGTTAGCTGTGGAAATTCCATCAGCAGATTGGATATTAGTGCGTGTACTACGTCGAAGCCCTTCAGTTGAATTCAAAGGAGATAACAAAGTTTCATTTGTACCTAAAGGGGATTGTAACCCTGAACCATCATTAATATTCACTGGAACATCTTTGCCCGGCTTGCTTGAAGCCGACAGCCGCAGAGTCATCAACCTTGACATCAACAGATCGCTTAACTGTCTGCCTGAAGGGAGGAGCAGAACTGCTGCTACGAGGTTTCTCCGGTCTAACACTGCTATCAGTTTCACACGGCATAGGAATAGGTGATATCGACCTACCGTTTGTCCCAACCTTTGGCCTAGGCGAGGTTGGCATGGGCTGAGTAGGTGTCACCTTTTTGCTGAGCCTGGGCGAGTTTGACTGATCTAAGGGCAAAGTTTGTCTCCCAGTCACTAATGAGCGGTCTGTAGCTTCCAAACCGGGTTCAGTACAGGTACATTCACCACTAGTAGCTTTCTCTGGTGGATGAAGACACTTTCCTGAACATGCATTGCCTTTGACATTCTTGGCCGGAGGGACATTCTTGGCCGGAGGGGTAACATACACAGCCGGTAGATTAGCTATGTCATTTAGGCTTAGTAACTGGCTCAGTTTCCCTAGACCTTTTTTCTCAAGCAGTGACATCACAGTCGCCAATTGCATTGGCACAGGTCCACCTCCAGTAGGGGCATTAGATGAAGATGACGTGTTCTCTAGAGTTTTCATCTACTTTTTCTAGGCCTGTCCACCATCACGCCCATGATTTGCATCATCTTTTCCAGGCACATCATTTTTTTAATCCTAGAACATCAATTTTTTGGGGGAAGGAGGGAGTATGTAATTTGCCCCGACATTGGAAGTAAAATGCAGTAGCAGTGCTTTAAACTTGTTTCACACATTTTAGATAAAGTCTCCATTTAATTGTTCCATTTCTCAAACAAAACAATTGTGCATTGCATGTCTAGCGTCAACATTCTTGTCTTGACATTTTCTAAAGAAAACAAAAATTGTTAATGAAGTGATGAAACCACAAGTTAACTGTTGCTAGGATTTGTAATTCATTGTTTTAATTCATGCATGGGTAGAATCTTACAGATATAAGTATTAGAAGTCACAGATAAGTTTAGCATATATGGTTAATCAAAATTGTTTATCATCATGCTCTCTTTATTTTCTGCTTATAACTTAAGCTTAAATATTGATACAGTGCAATCTCTATCTGATTGTCAGATTTACCAATTTCTCTCTATATTTTAGTTCATATTCATAGTCTTTGCCCATTTGTATCGTATATGTGTGTACACTAGCACAAAGTTGATATTAGGAGACAGCTTTTTATCTACAGAGCGAGTACAAAATATTCATGTCTCCTAAAATACCTAGCAGACTTTAGAGACGGTAGATCCATTTTATTAGGAGACAGACAAAACAGCTGATATATAATTTTGAACCAAGAGAGGATTATACGCTTGCCAATTTGCAGTACACGGTCCATACAAACATTTGTGAGGATGCAGCTCTTATCAGTATTCATGGAAGTAAACTCGATGGACAGAGGAAATTCATTTTGAACGACGAGCACCGCACTAAATAAAGCACCTTTCTAAACAATAATTGTGCCACCCGAAGCACCCACAGAGGGAGGAATTTGAAGTGATAAAAAGTAGGGCAAATGTTTCTGACAAAGTGCTGATCAAAATGCTATTTGTTGGTTTCTTGCAAACAAGCAATGTCACAGCGACTCTCTAGAATCTTATCACGAATAGAGTATTGTGAGACCCAGCCCATGGGCCGAATTACGGTTAGGCTGAGCTACTGTAGCCTGGAGTTTAGTATCATCAATTCAAGGTTAGCCTGGAGTTTAGTACCATACTGTGAATTCAAGGTTAGCCAGACCAGTTTAAAAAGCCAGGCCAAGGACACGTAGCAACCTTTGGTTAACCGTTTTGCGCAAAACGAGGACGAAAGCGCCTAGGTTGCTATGTAGGTGGGGCCCACCCCTCGGTAGAGTGGGCTTGGACCATGTGCCGGGCCTGAGGTGCTACAAATGGTATCAGAGCCAACTCTCGCGGTTTCATGCTTCGTATGGTCTAGAAGCCTGGACAAGTTGTGCATGGCCCCAGAGAGAGCATGACGCTGGGCCGGGGAACTAGAAATACGAACATGGCCAAGAGAGTCGATCCTGAGCATTTGTCCCGCATGGTTAAGCTGGTCGATGAGGACAATTTCACACTTCGTATGGTCTAGAAGACTGGACAGGTTGTGTATGGCCCCAGAGAGGGCATGGCGCCTAGGCCGGGGAACTGGAAATACGAACGTGGCCAAGAGAGTCGATCCTGAGCATTTGTCCTGCATGGGTAAGCTGGTCGACGAGGACGTCGAATCCATTGAGGATAGGTGGATGTGAGACCCAGCCCATGGGCCGTTGGGCCGAGCTACTGTAGCTAGGAGTTTAGTATCATACCGTGAATTCAAGGTTAGCTAGACCAGCTTAAATAGCCAGGCTAAGGACACGTAGCAACCTTAGGTTAACCGTTTTGTGCGAAGCGAGGACGAAAGCGCCTAGGTTGTTACGTAGGTGGGGCCCACCCCTCGGCAGAGTGGGCTGGGCGGTGTGCCAGGCCTAAGGTGTTACAAGTGTTCCACTTCTTATCTGGACTAACACCTCGAACATTCCATCACAAAATATTCCACGATCTACTCCCTCCGTTCCATAATATAAGCCATATAGATTTCTAAAGAAAATTCCAAAATATAGGTACGTATCAGCTCCCACACCGATTAGTTTGGAAACCTTCCCACCGTATATAGCACATGCCCCAACCAATCCGTTAGATTTTGGAATCTTTTTTTTTTTCTTAACAGAACGATCGATACCTATCGTTTTTTCTCTATACATATGCATTCCATCGAGTCTGTCACGCGTATCTCCGTAGCTTTGTTTCTCTCCCTCTCTTTCACGCCAGACTCCATGGACAACTGCAACTCATCTTCCATGCCCAAGGAGAAGACAAAGCAAGCGATCTCGCTTCCAATGGACAAGGACACGAAGACGGCGACCTCGCTTCCCATGCTGAAGGAGAAGATCAAGCTGGTGCCATGTGTGATGTGTCTTCAATTGCCCGAACGAAGACTGACTTCTCGCATTGGTTCAGACAGATGGCAAAGTATGAGTGTTCCCTGCTGGCGCCCACGCCATGAGCGCCGACCATGGCACTGTTGATGATGGACCGCACCCGGTGCGCAAGACCATGGTGACCACCGAGCAGCGGGCCATCGAGTCCTTCACGGACGTCAAGGACATGGCCGTGTCCGTGATGTGCTTGTCCCGCGTCGCCGTGACCACCTAGTCCGGCGTGGTCGTCCCCTTCTTCTCCACCGTTGCCATACGACTCTATCACTTCTACCTCTGTCAAGATAGCAAATCCAATTATGCACAGATCGTGAAATGAATGAAGAATCGATTGCAGAAATGATGAATCAAAGTGGGAAAACCTGGTTCAAGCCACTCGTAGTCGTAGTTCAACTCGGCAGCATCCTCCTCCGCCTCGTCGCCGAGGGCATCCCAGTTGATCCACCCGGAGCGGCGACCAACCATTAGAGATGTCGAGCTCGAGCGGGAGATAGGTGAGATAGCGATGGCGAGGGGGGGAATTTATAGCTCCAGGTCGCTGCTGTTTACAAAACGAAAATTTCTGATCATTGGCGCCATTGTGATTCCCTCCTCTGCTGGAATTTTTGGATGAGCCAAAAAATTCCATCGCTTTTCAACTTGCTGAGGCTTTTCCCTCTGCATGCCGCAGGGAGAGAGAGGAAAATAACGCACGTCGTCCCTCGCGGGAAACATAGGCGGTGGGTCCAGCGAGGAAGAGGGGAAACCGATCGGGGGAGAGAGAGGATTGTGGGGTTTGTTACAGTTTGTTAGGAAGCAATCTGATTGGGAGAGAGAAGATGGCCTGATTTTCTTTTTTTTTCCTCGGTCTCACATCCTTCCCCAAGCCGTGTGTTAATATTGATGCTAAAAACTATATGGCTTATATTATTAAGGAACGGAGGGAGTAGTATTCATTGATTATAACAAAAAGATGTAGAGGCACTGAAATTCCACAGGATAACCAGGGGAACAGACAGAAGAGTGACAGATAAGCGGCAGGCTTCACTTCTGGGAATCCTTCCCATCCGCCTTGGCAGCATCATCACAGGTTGGGCCGACTTGCGCTCGGAGTGGAGCTTTTCTAAGGTGAGCTCAGACTCCGGGATGTCACAGAAAGACGAGCCCAAATTATTGATCACTGACGGGGAGATGCATGGTTGGCAGGACAGCTGAACAGACTCAACAATTCCTGTCTTTACAGGAAGATGACTTGAAGCCTTGAGTTTGGTGACGAACACGCAGGCTCCTTCTGAGGTTAGTCTCCACAATGACTTCCGTCTTCTTGGATGATTCTCGGGTGAGATCTTTTTTGTACTGCCAACATTTTTTGTCTTATGTTTTCGCTTTCAACTCCTTCGTGGGAGGCTTTGCTACTATACTTGAAGAACCATGAAGCCAGTTGAACGTCGAATAAGCACGATTGCCTATCATGATAGAGGGATAAATAATACAGTATAAAAAATAAAAATCTCAGGGTTTTGTATGGAAAAAAATTGCAATAGTTGGAAATCAGTAAGCCATCTATGAGTAGAGATGCAGAAAGAATTTTTACCATGCTCGAAACTTTTCAGTTGACAAAAATTTATATACCATACTATGAAAAAAGAATAACACAACGATTAAGAGAAACTGAAAGTGGATGCAGGTTTTATCTTTAGCTAATAATCATATAAAAAGAGGATGCTACTGACACCCTTTTTTGTCTTTGCTAAACATACAATCCGATACGTTGCTCCATTCTGCAGTCTTTGATAGCATGCGGCTGTCATAAAAATTCTTTTCGTATCTAAGCAGGGAGCTGAGGAAACAAAAAGAACAATTGGATTAAAGCGCACGTTGTACAATGATAGCATTCATGATTCGTTTCGGCTGCTGCAATGCAACAAATCTTTCCTTTGTTTCAAGGCTACGAGGCTTCTTTTTTCTGGACTCTGGAGATGCTTCAGCTCGAATGCTCACACTCGTCTTTTTACATTAATTATTGCACAGCCATTGGATTCCGCGTCATTTTGAAGAAGCGTTAAAGAAAGAACATCCACCAAGTGTCTTCCTGTTCACAAAATTTGTAGACATGCAGGCTTTTCATAGCTTTATCATTAGTATTCTCTCTTGTTTCAGACGACACAATAGCAATAGTATGAAATCTTGAGTATGCAAGCCACACTTTTGTACCTTACAATCTGATACTTTTTACGTTTGATAGCTAAAATACGATACGTTCCTCCAACGTGCAGCTTCTGATAAGTTGTAGCTGTCAAAAATAATTCTTTTCTTAGCAGAGGACTTGTTATAGAACTCACGCAAGGATGAAATCTAGAGGTGGTGGTGTGGCGAGAGGGGAGAGGGAGGGTGCTAGTAATCAGTATTGGTAAAATATAGGGAGATGGCCAAGGCCAATAGACTAAAACAATGTCTAGCCCACTAGAATGCATATACTTTGAGAGAAATTTGAACGATACTGTTTACATCAAAATTTGAGAAGAAGAACGCGGAAACTCGAAGCTTCCAAGATTGTGTCATCAAGAAATCGATCGCATAAGGATCGATATCAGCTGATTCAGATCGCGACACTGGAATCGGCTCTCTTCGAATGACGTCAACAGATAATGACAATGAACTACGGTTGACGTTGGGAAAGACATGTCAAACTCTATAAAAAAAAAGATTATGGTCCAAGTTATCTTAAATTAAGAATATTTTCTCTTATACCAAAGATTGTAATGAGTCATACTTGAGTATGATTTATGCTTAAGCTCCGGGTATAAATATCAGACCCAGGCTATTATAAAAAGACATCCAATCAATCAATACTAATTACTTTTTTGACTTCACGCCGACCCTTAGGAATAGGAGTAGTGTAGATCTCGGTGAGTTCTTCAACAAGCAAGGCTACATCGGTCCGGTCGACCTCCGGCTTGTCTATAAGTACCGTCATGGCTTATACTTCTATTCGTAAGGCTGCATCGGTTAAGTTCGACCTCCACTGCGAGCTCTAGTATAAGCTAGTTATCGATTCTTATTTAGTTTAAGTACGACTGCATCGGTTAAGTTCGACATCCACTGCTCGAATTAGATTAAGGTCAAGTTATCGGCTCTACCTAAGGGTGGCGTCCTTCGGGTAGATTCATTAAGTTACTAATTTTGCTGATGTTCTTATTGTCATTACTTTCAGCAATATCAACCTGCCCGATCAAGATCACATCCTTCTAGTCTCTCGTTTATTTTATCACATTGCGATGGTTCTTACTTTAAACGACGGATTATGTTTCATCGGCTGTTCTACTTCGATCTTGATCATGCATAGTATACGGTTAAGGCATGTCTGATCTTGAGGAGGCTTACTGGCTAGTTAAATCTGGTCTATAGATCGCTATTATGGCTGTAACGATCCGGTCGATCTCTACTGATGGCACTTTACCTTGACTGTTTGCTATGCTTGCATCGGCTAAATAGTCGATTGCTCATACGTTAACACTCATAGTGTGTCTTTGTGATTCTGTTAAATGTGAATAGATCTATTTACTTTAAATGTTTAATCTATTGTCTTTATTATAGCTGTCATCGATCCGGTCGAACCCCACTATTAAAGATAATAGGTTAGATTTGATGAGTTTATAAATCTGTTCGTATTAAATAGTCGATTATTCTCATGCTGTGATCATTTTTCTACCTAAATCGGCTATTTCAGCCGATCCACCTGTGCTTTCACACGTATAACATGTCTTTCAGAAACCTGTCAATGTATAGATGGTTTTATGGATTGTTTGTCTTTAGTTTATTGTTATCATTATAGCTGCATCGATCCGGTCGAACCTCACTGTTGATGGTAATAGATTAGATTTAGAGCGTTTGTAAATCCATTTGTACTAGACAGTCGATCTGTTCATATGTTATATCCTTTTTCATTAAACTTATCGACTCAATGCTTTACACCAGTTATATTTATCTAGCTGATGATGTTACTTATGTCTGGTGCATTGTATTCGTTACTGTAAAATCGATCACGACCCACGAAGCTTTACAGTCCTTAACAGTTGATTTCTTCTCGTATCGGCTATTTAGTTGATTTTTCCCGTCTGGCTGCTCCCGAAATGGCACACTTGGAACTGTCTGGGCAAGACCGGCATGTTCCACCTTAAATTACTAATAAACTTTCTCTCTTTGTCAATTGCAGGTCAAATTGACTAGCACACCTTCGGGAATTCGCAGGGTCGACTGGTCCTGCGTTGAAGCCAAGCTGATCTCTAGCCTTGCTCCATCAAGCAGATCCTTCCGGCTTGCTGTGTGCTATGCGCCGACACATGTTCTGGCACGCCTGGTGAGACCCCACAATCGTCATGGCAACTTACAACAATAGTGACATTCTTATGGTGCCTTATGAAGACCTACCTAATGAAGATATGGATGTCATCGGTAAAGCTATAGAAGAATTTCAGAACAAGTGTTTGTTGTCCTACACCAAGACACGTGACAATAAAGTTATTCAGAAATATCCACTACCAAGAGTTTTGATGCATGAGCAGTCAGATACAGACGAAGCTGAGGATAGACGTTTCTTCGTGGATGCCATAAACAAATCTGTTCATAATGCCATATTAAACCATAATACAGTTTTCTTGAACACATTCCATAATACCATGAAGGAGGTGTTTTATGGATATCCAATTGATCAGATTGGACCAGCTTATTACAACATTCCACATCCATCGACTCAGGGGACTAATCAAGTCGATACTAGCCATCAAGAAGCAGCACGAACTGGTAATGATGATGTCCAGACAGTTCAGAGCTCATCTGATCAAGTTCAAGGCACTACTACTAATCAAATACAAAATAATCTTGGACCATCAATACAGTATGTGCAATAGCCAACGGGGCAAGTTCAGAATCAAATGGTTAATTTTGGCACATCAAGCCAAATACCGTTGTTGGCTCAGAAAATAGCACCATCTGTCCAAAGGATTCATAGAGATACATATCCCAACATCTACAACCAAAGACTTCAAGCAGCAAACCAGCAAAGGACCCAACAGATAGAGATTCCACAATGATATCATTATGACACATATTACAATACCCTTCATATGATTCCAAATCCAGGGTATCAAGCTACCCAAAATTTTAATCCATAGATGGGTCAACAATTGCAGAGAAATTCAGATTCAAGTGCTGATGAGTTGTTGCTCAAAGTGACGGAGATGATGAAGAATCAGTTCGATTTGAAGCCAAAAGGGCAGAACTTTTTGTACAAATGTCCATATCCAGAGTGGTATGATTTGATCGCTCTTCCTACAAATTATAGGCCCCTGGAGTTTGCTAAGTTCACTAGCCAAGATAGCACAAGCACAATAGAACACGTCAGTCGGTATCTTACACAGTTGGGCGAAGCATCCATTGAAGAGGCTCACCGAGTTCATTTCTTCTCCTTGTCCCTGTCAGGACCA